GATGAGTTAATCATTTAAAAAACTCACAGCAGCTGATATCTGTTATTAAATTTGGAATGTTTTATAGAAACAGCCCTCTGAAATTGCTTGTCAAAATAGCTCACAGTTTGCTAATAGCAGCAGTAGTTACGTCAGGTTATTCTATTTCTAGACTTTTGTCAAAACACTGTCAGGAACTAAGGAGTCTTCAGATTATGAGCTTGTTAATGTCGATAAAATATGAAGTAGCATGTGCATTTGGTAAAACACCCATCAGATAGAAAATAGTGTTTATCCTTTTGTCCTAAACATTATTCTATAAGTGGCAAAGAATATCGGTTCAAGAGACAGTAATTTGAAAATCCTTTATCCCTTTACCTTCCCTCATTTCATTCTCTGAAATCCTACCTATTTTTCAAAGCTCGCATGCTTGCTTCTGTGTAACTTCCTTCTCATACTAATTGGAAGCCACCGTTTCCTTCCCTGAACTGTTACAGCTTCTTGTTTTGTACCACAGATCTGTCCTATGTTGGTATCTCTATTTTTGTGTCTTTGGCTCTTACTGGGCTAATACTCTCTTCGAGAGAAAATAATGGCATATCCTCTTTTTTGTAACTCCCATGCGATCTAAGCACAGTATTTTCACAAATAGCAGAGGTTCCGTTGATGTTTGTTGAATGCCTGAAGTAAGGTAGAAATTTACATTTTATCATTTTCCCACTTTTTATAACTTTTTATTTGACTTAGTACATTGTTGTTAATATGGTATATTAATAAGAAGGTTTATTATCCTCTTAGAGTGAATCATATTGTGGTCTTTTTTTTTAATTCTCATTCAACAGTATATTTTCAAGAGTAACTTTAATACTTTTTAGCTCACATCAGTGCGGCTGAGGTGGGTAATTTCATGAGTTTTTAGTGACATCTGTGCGAAGCTTTTGCTTTGCCCCTGAAGCTTCAGAAGCCTTTATGCTGAGGGATGACTGGGTGCTTTCAGTTCAGTCAGCCGTGCAGTCTTTAGTTAAGTCTGTGTACTTGATTGTATTATTTGAAAGAAGATCCCTTAATTGCATCTTTTTTAACCTTTTGAAATTGTGAATAAGCCTGATTGCATTTTAAATCTTCAGTTTCCTTTTACGTATGTGAAGTGTATTCTGATTTTCATAAAGGTGTATTTACTCCAAGAGGATTGTCAGATGCCTGGTTGTATACAATCACAGGCACAATTAATCAAATAGATAAGACTAGCAATTACTTTTAAGTGAAAATACAAAGTAGTTTCATTCCCATCTTGAATTTCTTTGAGTCAATTTTAACTCTTCACAACTTAATTGATTTCCCCTGAATACAGAGTAGTTTGTGGATATCTGCTATTTTTACAATCTCTTTATGAAGTAGGTGGGGAACTTTCATTCCTTAGGGATAGAGAGGTTTTTCTGTTTAACTCTGTGTTACTTACTTTGGGTCACACAGCACTATAGCTCGAAACAGTAACCAGATCTCCTGCTCTCAAGATCTTAACCTTAATTTGTACTTCAGAAGGATTTTCAAAGCTTGGATGGAGTATAGTAGTTTTTCAAAGGAAAAGATACCATTGGGCATAATAAATGATTTCTTCAGTACCATTCCTATCTTTGGGTATGGATCAGGCATCTGGCGGCACTCTCGAGCCAGTGTACACCTTAAAAGGTCAAAATTCAAGGACCCAGAAAAGTATATTCATTCTGACCAATAAAATATCTCGATAATATCCAGTGATATATAAGGATAGGACCCACTATTTCCTGGATGTACTAATGATGTAATTTCTATTATAAAATAACATGAAGTTAACACAGGGTGTTATAAGTAGAAATGTCTGTAAACCTTGGCTCATTTGGAGACAAGGCACCTCGGCAGGTGGTCTTGGCCCTCTAGTTGTCCAGTCAATTGACTTCAAACTCTGGTTTCTCACTTTGGAGAAACTGAAAGGCCTAACACAAATGTGAAGTGTGAGGAAGATTTCTTTTAAAGACTTTCATGAAAACCACGTTCATTAAGTTAATACTTCTATGTAAAATATTTGCAGGGCTTTTTTTTTTGCATGAAAAAAATGAAAAACTGTTTCAAAATACCTCTATGTCTTCTGGGAATATGAGTGATGATTTCATTACCTAATCAAGGAAGTGAAAACAAAGGGCTGCGCAAAGTGATGCTGGGCATGTAGTTACAGAGGAACTGCACCCGAGTCTATCCCTGTGTGTTGTCAGTTGGCATCTGTGCTCAGGCACCAGGTTAGCAGACGAGCCTTCAGAGGCACAGGGTTTGAAGCTTTTGTGGACAGTGAAGTGGTTGAATGGTGAGAATTGTTTAAAACTGGCTATTACAAAAATGTGAGCCCCTTTCTTTGGGTTTGCTAATTATTTTTTGAGAAGTTTTGGAAAGGAAGTAGATTGTTTTATTGAGCCAAACAGATGTATTTTGCTTGGGGGGAAAAAATCCTTTTTGCAGCCTTTATGATTCAGTTTGTGCTAAAGCAGACGCTAGGTATGCAGTCTGTATAGGAAAGAACTGTATTGGAGATGCTGTATTTAATTCAGATGTGAAAAATGCAGCCAAATTCAAGGAATTGGTTTTTTGTACTCTTCCTTGGTGAATTTCAGGGCTTAGTAGGGATTAAAAATACGAGAAAGTCAACAATTTAGGGAAGATAGCCAGTGGGAGGTGAGAAATGGTAACTTGCAGGGAAAGAATAAGAGGGAATATGGGAAGCAATTTTTTTTTTCCAGTAGAAAAAGGCAGCTTTCTTTTTTTGCCAGAAAAATATTCTAATTTTTGTTTTATATGTACATGACTTTTGGATAGGAATTAGGGCTGGAAATGGAAAGGCCCTCCCTCTAGCAAGTGAAGCACAGGATAAACAGCTCACGGAAGTGGGGCAGAGAGGGACTAATGACTATCTAGGATCCTTTATCTAATACAACTTAGGGTAAACCTATGACGTTCTCTACTCTGGGGGAATGGAGGGAATTGCTGCTGGCCATCCTTTACCACTGTTGCCTGCTCCACCAGCTCGCAGGATTTAGGCTTCTCCAGTACTTTCAGTTAGCCATTTGTTCATCATCATCAAGAGTCTAGTTGCCACTTGAGTATTGATTTATGTTTGCTTTTTTCTGAATGTGATCATTCTTCCAGTTTTTAAGGTGTTGTACATAATTAGTATATGAATTTCAGGAGTAGTAGAGGTGAAGTGGGAAGCTTCTAGGTTTTACTTTCCCCAACCTCCTTACTTTTTGGAACACTTCAGATCTTTCTTTAAGCCCCAAAGTATATTTCAGACTCACTCTTCTCTTCCTGTTATTTCTTATTGTTTTCATCAGTGCTAGAGAGAATGCTGGAAATTTATAAGGTGGGTAGCATAGTGCATGGTCTGGGCAGGTACATAATGATCAAGGGGAATAGATGTATTAAAAAAACAATAAAATGAACTCAGATGCCCCTTCAGGAAAGGACTTGTTGCCTAAATATCAGGAGTGTAGCTAAATAAAACTGTTAAGTCCCTTCAGTGACTGCCTCAGCTTTGGAGCCAAGGTCACCTTCTCAGAGCAGCCCCCAGCCAGTGCCTGGGCAGAGCAGTGATATAAGAGCCTAGTCTTCTCCCCCAATACTGCGGTCCTCTCACTGACCATCCTCGCCCCTGAGCTTTCCGTTGGACAAGTGTTGTCAGATCTGCATCATGCTCTGATGGCTCCTCCTGCTCAATTCTTTTCTTCTCACGAGAGTTCTCTCCTTTAACCCTTTTTGATTCCTAATTATATTTTAGCATCTGCTTCTTGGGGAATCTAAGCTGCGACACACTTCAACATAAATCATCCTATTTACTCTATTTGACTCTTTGCCTCAGGCATTGCATGAAACATCAGGGGAGTGGTGTAAACATGTTGCTTCTGTGTATATGTTTAACACATTGTGCTCCTTCCAGAAAGTTTAGAGAATACAGATAGCACTAAGAAGAAATTTTAAAATCACTCATAAAATGTCTTTAAAATTAATTACCTTCACTAGAGGTAACTTGATCATGGCTTGTTTTGATAAACTTTAGAGAAGTGAATTAAGCATTAAGTATTCAGCTTGGTGAATTTTTCACAAACTGAACCCATCTGTGTAACCATTACTCAATTAGGAAAAAACTTTACCAGCAGCCCAGGAGCCTCCCAGTGCTTGCCAAAGCTAACCACTTTCCTCACTTGCAACAGCATAAATTAATTTTGCCTAGTTTTGAATTTGATATCAGCATGGTCATGTGTATGTACTCTTCTGATCATTTTGCTTAGTATTATGTTGAGTCTTAGCTGTGTGTTTATCTGTGGCTCCTTGTTGTATAGCGTTCCCCTGTATGAATGTACTGCATGCAGTATGTCCATTCTGTCGTTGAGGGGCATTTGTATTATTTCCAGTTTTTTACTTCCTGGATTTATTATGGTGTTTTCTAGTATAAATATTGCCTTGATTTGGTATTTTAGCTAGTTAAGCCTATTCTTAGAACATTTATTATCCTCTTAAGTGAATTGTCTTGTGTAAAAGCTAGGAAAACTGTTATTTCTAAAACCAAATCCTAAGAATATTCTTATTACTCTTTGTAGTTCCCACAGTTATTTTTTACTTCTGAGTTTGAGGTCTTAAGTTATGTTATTGGACAGGGGAAGCAAATTATTATTCCTTTTGCTGTCTTTCAGTCAGATCCTTGAGTCAGGGGAATTGTTAGAGAACCAGCGTTCTGGTTTTCTGGTTACACCAGAACTTGGGTATTGCAGTTGTTGGTGGAGTAAAAAAATAACAAGCCTTTAGGGATTGTTAGATATTTGGGGTGGGTTTGGTCCTTGAGCTGTACCTATCAAATTAAGATGGCTCACAACTGGTGCTAAAGAACAGATTTCATATTGAGGGTCTCAAACAAATCCTGAACAATTTGTGTGCATGTGCCTGTGCAGTTTCAGAGCTTCCAGCAGTGCATACTGATGTTTGTTTCTTTCCCACTGTAGCTGTCAAGTGGAATGTCATGGCCAGCTCCTCAGACAGTGATGATGACAGTTTCATGGCAGTGGACCAAGAAGAAACTGTGCTGGAAGGGACAATGGAGCAAGATGAGGAGCCTCAACCAGTATTAGAGGTTGAGGAGACTAGACATAATAGATCCATGTCTGAGCTGCCAGAAGAGGTTTTGGAATACATCCTGTCCTTCCTTTCACCATACCAAGAACACAAAACTGCAGCCCTTGTCTGCAAACAGTGGTATCGACTTATCAAAGGTACTGTGGGCCCTAGAGATGTTTATGTGTTTATTTAAGATGTGTTTGAATGCTTTATTTTCAAACTCCCAATTTTATTTTCTCTTTTCGTCCTTAAATTTACTGTCGTTCTAAATTTAATGTTAGTTAACATTGTACATTTCCCTTTTCTCTTTTTCCTGGTTAGTTTTATGAGCAGCTTGAATACTATAGTGTTTAATCAATTTGAAGTTTGATAATGAAGATTCTTTTCTGCATATTCTCAGCATTGATATGGTAAATTACATTGTTCTTGAATAGGCAAAATAGGGATAGATATGGGATAACAGTAATAACTAACATTAATATAGCTCTTACCATTGTCAGGCACTATTGTAACTGCTTTACAATCCTCTCGGCAAACCATTATAGGTGAAGAAACTGAATGAGGCACAGGAAAGTGACTTATCCACAGTCACATGGGTAATAAATGAAGGATCAAAGATTCACAGTCAGGCAGTCTGTTGTTCAGGTCCTTGTTCTTGTGAGGATGCCATATTGTCTCTTAAAGTGGCTAATAGTAGCAAATGTGGATTTGTGAGAGCATTCACCCCTTGATTTTTATCTCTAAACAGCCAGGCCTATGGATACCTGTTACTTGTTAAAATGAGTTTCTCCTCCTTTTCCCTTCATTTTCTAATCAAGATTTTAACTTCAGCTAAACGTTGAGGTTACTAGCTGTGCTGTATTTTTAATTAAAAGATAACAGTTATTTGGCCTTATTCCATTTTAAGTGGAAATGACCCCCCCCCTTTTTTTTAAATGAAGATGACCAGGCCAGTTCAATAATCTTTGATCAAAGCAAGGATTGGTACCAGTTTGTTCTTTCCTGGTGGGAGCAAGGTAGCAGAAATATGAAAGAAAAACTTTTAGATAACAATCAGTCTTAAAATCTTTTCTTTGCATCAGAATGGTTCTCATGGGAGTATGGTTCTTGTCAATTATCCAAGTCCATCTGGGAGGTCTAAGGACAGACCAGCTGTGTTGAAACTGCTTGTTGGGTCCTAGACTCACCTGCTTATAACTGGTAATACTGGTATGCACAGCCTACTTCTATTTGCAGAGTTAGTGGACTCTTCAGGATGGATTGGCTTCCTACACTGTGGAAATAGACGATTTTACCCCTAAAATAGAGGGGGAAGAATCATAGATGAGAGGCTGTGATCTAATCAATATATGAATTTATTCTTAGGCTTTGTTTAGCATTTATGTCACCTTGTTTGTTTTTTTTTTGTTTGTTTGTTTTTTTTAAAGCGGAACTGTAATGTACTCACAGTTTTAGATCTTTTGGGGGAAGTCACTGCCAAGACAGTTGTTTTCCCTCTTTCAATCATTTTGTATCATCTGTCTTTTATTCATTACTGCCTTACCTGCATTCAACATTTGTAAATTTGTGTTACACACTTGACCAGTGTATAGTTGGCAGTGTCTAATATTCCAATTCTTAAATATGCGTTCAAACAAGGGACAGTGATCATCTTTGGAAAACATGTGTAAGTAGAGTGACCAGGCTTATAGATCCACTGAAGTGGCATAAATATAAGTATGATACATTCTTTAAAAATGTAACATAATCGGTTGTACTCTGTATTCAAAATGTTGCTCAAATAAGATTTCATGTGTAAGAAAAATAGATCGTTCAAGTCACCTGAAAGCTTTCACTTTTTTTGAAGTAGACTTTATTTTTTAAAGTGGTTTTAGAGTCACAGCAAAATTGAGCAGTTTCAGAGATATCCCATATACCCCTGCCCCAACACATGCATAGCCGTCCCTACTGTCAACATTCTCTACCAGAATAGTACATTTGTTACAGTTGATGAACCTACATTGACACATAATCATCACCCAAAGTCCATTGGTTATATTAGGGTTCTCACTTGGTAAACATTCTGTGGGTTTGGACAAACGTATAGTGATATGTATCTGCCATTATAGTGAAAGTGCTCGTGTGTGTGTGTGTGTGTGTGTGTGTGTGTGTTTATTTGAATCAGACATATGCTGGGAAGCAAAACAAAAATACTCCCAAGTTGTCATTTTTTAAAACAGATTTTCTTAATTATAAATAATAACTCAGTTATAAATAATCACTAAACTAATTTTTATCTCCTCTTTAAAATGGAGAATGCTTAGTTGCCATGGTCTAATGATAGATATTTACTCAATACATCTTATATTCTAGGTACTGTTTTACTTATTATATTCTAGGTACTCTTTATCACAAAGCTAAACTGTTCCCCAGCCCCTTTGCTTTGTAGTAAATAATACCAATTATTTTGATATGTTGCATCATGATATAACAAAAGGGAGCGGAGTTACAGTATGAGCTAATTTTGTAACCTTAAGCAAGTCATTTAACCTTCCTGAACCTGGTGAATGAAAGGATTGGATTGTCCTTTTTTTTTTTAAAGATGTTATTTATTTATTTATTTTTAGAGAAGGGAAGGGAAGGAGAAAGAGAGAGAGAAACATCATTGTATGATTGCATCCTGTGTGCCCCCAGCCCCTGCACTGGGAATTGAACCAGCAAGCCTTTGGTTCACAGGCTGGTGCACAATCCACTGAGCCACACCAGCTAGGTCTGGATCTTCCAGTTTTAAAAGTATATGATCTGTTTTCTTTCTTTGAATGAAAAAATCAAAGAAATTTGAAGTACCTGAAAGAAACTTACGTCTTATAAAAAAGTGACAAGACATTTAAATAGATGCAGTTTTAATAATTTGATTTATAAGTGAAGTGTCTAGGCTGAGGCCTTTGTTGTTTTTGCCTTTAGGAGTAGCCCACCAGTGTTATCATGGTTTCATAAAGGCTGTTCAGGAAGGAAACATTCAGTGGGAGAGTCGGACTTACCCTTATCCTGGAACCCCGATCACTCAGCGGTTCTCACACAGTAAGTATTTACTGTGAAAGCAGATCCCACACTGCCTGTGTTTCCAAAAACTACTTTGGAGATAATGTATTTTGTCTGACTTTTTCATGAAGAGAATGTAAAATGAGGATTTATATTAATTTTACAATTAGAGTGAGGGAAGAGCATGAACCTGAATACATTGTGTAGGTACTTTGGTATAATTTTATATTCTGCTTTTCATTGAATTTTTGTAGTGTCTCTACTCCAAAGAGGTCATGGTTATGCTTTGGCTTTTATTTATTTTTTAAAAAAAGATTTTATTTATTAATTTTTAGAGAGCGGGGGAAGGAAGGGAGAAAAAAATGGAGAGAAACTCCCACCAGGAACCAAACCCGCAACCCAGGCATGTACCCTGACGGGGAATTGAAGCAGCAGAGTTTCGCTTTGCGGGACAAGGCCCAACCAGCTGAGCCACACTGGTCAGAGCTCTGCTTAGATTTTTAAGCATCTGACATCTTGCAGGAGACAAACAAGTAATGACATACATAAGGGTATTTCTAAGATTTTGCTTAGGGAGTAGAATTTAGCACTGTTTTATAATTACTGTTTATTTTAACATAGTATATGCTCAGCAAACACTGAATTTGACTGGAGTCACACAAAATTTTTGTGAAAGTTATTGATTATAAAATACAAATTTAAATAGTAAAATTATAAATAAAATGTCCTGGCAAATAGACATAATATAGGGTTTTTAAATTATTCTAGAATTAACTCTTCATTTTAATTGACTTTTGTAGATATATTTTATTCTATTGTGATTCACATCCCTTCATCAAAGTGAAACTGAGACATAGTATATTTTAGGTCAGTAAAGGTGTATTTATTAATGGTTCTGCAAAAAGAGAGCTCACTGGGGAGGGGGATGCCTCTTAGAAAGTTCTCAAAATTACTGTCTTAATTATACTTTCCTGTTCAGAAACCTTTAGTGTCTGACCATTGCCTACGAGATAAAAGCTAAACGTAGTTGTACATTTAGAGCCCTCTTTAATTTGACGTGTGTCTACATTTACCACTTCATCTCCCAGATTTTCCCAAGAGCTCTTTTCTTTCAAGCTATCACTTTGCCATACGTGTTTCTTCCTCCCTGGAGTATTCCTATCCACTTAGCAGAAGCTTGCCTCTTCTTGAAGACTCAAAGTTCTAGCTCCTTCATAAAAACCTTTTCTCAACTCCCTAGCCCATAGAAAATATTTTCTGTTCTGAGCTTATGTTGTTGCCTGAAATTCTGATTTGGCACTTAACTCACAATATCTTTCATTGTTAGCTTACATGTATGTGTCTTTTTTTAAAAACTATGTTTTGAACTCTTGAGGGGAAGGAGAGTATACTGGTTTTCCATGTTGCAAATTCCCCAAACTTAGCAGTTTAAAACATTTACTATCTCATGGAGTTTCTTGTTGGTCAGGAAATTGGGAGTGGCTTAGCTGGGAGGTTCTGGCTCAGGGTCTCTTCATGAGATTGCAGTCAGTCTGACAGCCAGAGCTACAGTCACCCGAAGGCTTGACTTGGCTGTGAGGGTATCTGCCTTTAAGCTCGCGCAGATCACTGTGAACCAGAGGAGTTCCTTACTAACATGGACTTCATAGCTGCTCACAATTTGGTGGCTGGCTCCCCACCGAATAATGATCTGAGAGAGACACAGACACCAAGACGGAAGCCATGGTGTCTTTTACAACCTAATCTCAGGTGAATACCATCTTTTCTGCTATATTCTCTTGGTCACACAGCGATTGACCAAAGGAATAAATACCAGGAAGTGAGGATCATTGGAGGCTATCCTGGAGGCTGGCTCCTGATCATATGTTGTACTCTATGCAGAAGATAGTTCAGTGAATAATTATAATTCATTATTATGTTTGAATGGTATCTAAATAGATCAAAGGAATAGGTCAAACTATTGCTGTGTTCTTAGTTTTCTCAAGAAGCTATTTTCACTTGTGCTGTTGTATACCCCCTACAGCAATGAATCTCAAGAGTGATTCCTAGGCCTCTGGGAAGGAGGTTGTCTTTGAGACCCTGTGGGGATCTGGGAAGTCAGAACTGGCTTTGTCTGCTTTCAGCTGTGAATGTCTGGCAGTGAAGAACACAGTGATCCCTGGAATCAAGGTCCCGCCTTGATTATGCATAGGCTGCAGCACTTCTACCCAGCATTGCTTCTGCACTGTTAGTGCAGATGTCCACACAGTCAAAAGGGCAATTAACTACTTATGCTTCCTCCCCTGCTCCTCTTATTTTTTATTATTATTATTATTATTATTATTATTATTAAAATAGTTTTGAAAGGGTCTTGAATGTTTTCCGGAGCCCACAGATCACACTTAGACAGTACTGCAGTAGACAGTAAAATGAATCCTTGCTGAGAATATTTAATGCAATTTTGGAAGAATCCATGTTAGGTCCAGTATTTTTTGTGGAGGGAAGGATAATGTCGGTTATCTACAGGTAATTGGAATAAAAAATAGAAACAAGATTTCTGAAGTCTGAAGATGGTTTATTTTAGATGGATTTTTTAAAAAGCATTTTAGAACTATGAGGGAAATGGAATGAACCTGGGTAAAATAAAAACCAGAGTAGGAAGGATTCAGGGGTGAATAATTATCATAGCAACAGTTCAGCTTTCTGATGAGAGGGAGAATTTTATTTTTTTAATCCTTACCCTAGGATATATTTTTACTGATTTTAGAGAGATAGGAAGGCGGGGAGAGAGACAGATAGCAACGAAAGAGAGAAACATCAATTAGTTGCTGCCTTGTACATACCTCAACTGGGGATCAAACCTGCATCCTAGTGTGCTCCAACTGGGGATTGAACCTGCAGTCTTTTGGACTACAGAACGATGTTTCAACCAACTGAGCTACCCAACAAGGGCTAACTAGCTTTTGAAAAAATATCGCAAAATAGAGGCAATTGTTTGAAGGGGAAATGAAAAGAATAGTACAGTTAGTAAGCTCCCAGAAGTTCAGAGATTGGTAGGTTTTGATATTTGTTTTTACTTAAAATTTTTTTTCATATCTTTACTTGAAATATGAGAAAAGGTGCCATAGATTTTTAGGAGTTGTTTCTGTGTTTCATTGTCTCTTTCTGTCTGTCATGTTTCTTTCCATCGGTCTCTACATGCTATCTAACTGGCAAACTGATGAGGACTGTTACAGAGCAATAGCAGTTTTCAAAATAGGTTGAAAACAAGGAATTCCTTTAATTTCTTTCCTTAGATTCTACCTCTTCCAACCCTGTATTTATCCCTTGAGCTCAACTTCATTTCTTATTCCCAGCTCATGTTGAGCTCGAGATCCACATTTCCAATTCTTTGCTCCTGTTGCCGCAGATATACACAGATGTTTCATATTTAGTCAGCTAAAAGGAGAATTCAGTAATACCTCCCAAATCTTTTCCTCTCCCTAATTTAGTTAATGGCATTATCATGCTTTCAATTATACAAGCTTGAAATCTTGGATTCGTCCTTAATTCCTCTTTTCTACAACAATAGTCAGAGCCTGTTGATTTTTTCCTTCTCAGCAGTGTCTCTCATGTATTTCCTTTTTTCCCAGTTACTCACATGTATGATCTAATCATTCCATCTTTCCAAAGTCTTGTCTAAATAGTCTTCTTGCCCTTCCTCTCTCTTCATTTGAAACTGTACTAGACACTGTTGGCATTCATCTCTAAAACCGAGGACAGCTCCACCTCCTAGGGCATTTGGGAATGTGTGAGGTCATTGTTCATCGTTGACTGGAAAGAATCACAAGCATTTAGTAGGCAGGGACCAGGGATGCTAAGTGTCTTACAGTGAATGGGATGACCCTACACACAAAGAATTGGCCTGCCCAAGATGACAGGAGCTCCTGTCGGGAAACACTGCAAATCTGAAACATAAAACCAGTCTTTTCACATTCCTCTGCCAAAAAGCCTCTGCCTCTCTGTACTACACATACAAGTTTCCACTCCTCCTGGCTTTCACGGCCCTAGCTTACCTTTTCAGTCTAACTCACTGTTGTATCATTATACAGTCAGACTCCACCATAAGACTCCTTGTTATGTCTTAAACTTCTGTACCTCATGGCTTTTCTTGGATGCACTGATTTCATCCACCCTTTTCCTCTTGTTCCTTTTCTGTCCCTAGACTTGTTTGCCCCTCATTAATTGACTGAGAATGTCCCATTCTTTGAAACCCATCTCAGAAACAAAGCCAAAAGCCACCTTCTTCAAAAACTACTCTCAAATTTCCCACCGTGGAGATTAAGTTCTTCTCTTCCTCTGCTTATACTCCCCTAATACACTCTTCATACCTTTCCCTTATTGTTTATAACCATCTGTCTCTTACTATAATTCCCCCCCATACGAGAGGCTGCATGTAAAAGAACTCCAGACTTGGAAAGCAACTTCCTTGGCTCTTCTAACCCACAATTTCTTCATCTGTAAAATGTGTATGAACATTCTTGTGCCACGGAGTTGCTAGGAAGTTGAATTGAAGAAACATATATTTAAAAAATGTTTTAAACTGCAAAGTGATAGGATGATGATGACCCTCCACAAGATAGATGTCTGCTTGAGGACAGATAGGTTCTGTGTCTTGAGACATCTCTGCACCTTTCACAATACCTGGACCATAATTGATAATTTATTAAATAATGTGTGATTAAATATAACAAAGATATGAGCAGTATAGCTTCTTTCCTAAGTGTTTAAAAAAAAAAGCCTGGGGCAAAAAAGGCAGTGGAGGTAAAATGAAACCAGTTCTTGTGGGTTTTTGGTGAGTGCATGACCAGTCACTCAAGCCTTGATTAATGTAGGAGATTATTTTCAGGTTGTAGAATGCCTTTTTCAGATTGATGTAGTGGTCTATTGAGTCCCCAGCATCATGCTTTGAAAAAGGTTTTAGTGTTTAGGCTCCAAACACAGTCAGGTCATTCCACACACACATGCTGGTCGTGTCCCTGCAATAGCCAGCAGGCCCAGACTGGGTAACCGACCTTGCTTGTTCCATAGTTATGTAATTACAGGCCTTATCAAATATGTCCTGGCTTGTAGGTGTGAGACACATGACAGCGTAGTCTGTTTAAGCATGGGATAAATGCCTCGGGACCTTTCCCTGGAGACAAGTGGGGAAACAAAAGAGAATTTAACATCTGAAAGTGCAGAAGTTAGAGTGGACATTTATTGAGTGATTACCAGGCACCATGGAAAATGTGAAACAACTGGAATACCTTGCATTTGAAAGGATTGTAATATAGGAGGGAAGTATTTGGAATGCTGAAGAACTGTGTGCTTGCTGTGTGTGTAATTGGGAATATTTGACTTGCCTTTGAATAGGGATTATTATATATTAACTTGAGGTATGTGTCTTGCAATAATTCATGGAGCAATCAAACCCATTTCCGAAGATTGAAGAGATTTAACAGTTGGAATAAACCTTCTTAATGTTATTTCTTAGCAGGTTATTCATACTGTATTATGAACTGTAACTTTTGTATGGCACATTCCAATGGTCTAGATGTTCTGAAAGGAAAATACTCTCTTTGGGTGGAGAACTTTGGTAAAAGGGAAATGACTACTTGAACACTGGTATTTGCGTAAATTCTTAATTTTTTTCTAAAAGGCCCATTGAACTTCTCCAGTTCCCCCATCCCCACCCAGACCAACATGAAGGGAGATGTCTTAAATAAAAATAAACAATAAACAAAGTTCACTAGGATGCCTAAAATATTTGAGTGTATTATCGATGGCCATTTTCTCATTCCATTATATCTGAGTTCTAAACTTAGAACTCAGTTGACTAAACTGACTCCCTTCCTCTCGAAGCCCCTCTGATAATTGACTGCTGGACATTGAAAATATAGTGTGTGAAATGTCGTTTTAGTCCTATTATCTTTGCGTAGTTTGGGCTGTGCCTTCCTCTTCCAGAAACCTTTGTTTGCTCAAAGAGAAGCAGGAAAATGCCAATTGCCTTATTTTAGTATAGGATTAAAATACATGTGGTTAAGAAACTAATGGGGCCCAGCTGCTGGCTGGGTTTGCAATCCAAATAAAGAAGAATGTTTGCTGCCTCTTTGATAAAGGCCCTGTGCTCTTTTGCTACACAAAGGAAGCAGCTGCTAAGAGTTGTTCTTTGAGGAATGGTGAGACATAAATGAGCCCTGACTCTTTTAATTATGACATCACAAAATTGTTTTATTAAACATTGTTATAATGAACACAAATTAAAGTTTCAGAAGCCGTAGGACATTGCTGATGTCTGTTCTGGAGGTATGGATTATCAAGAGGAAAAGAATGTTCTTTTAAGCTTGGCACCAGTTGGTTAGGTTCAAAATTTTCCCATTTGTTGGAATAGCTAGTTAAAGAAAGGTGCAGGAGCCATGGCCGGTGTGGCTCAATTGGTTGTAGTGTCAGCCTATAAAACTGAAAGGTTGTGAGTTTGATTCCCAGTCAGGGCACATGCTTCAGTTGTGGGTTCGGCCCCTATTCAGGTGCATGCAGGAGGCAGCCAATCAATGTTTCTCTCCCTCCCTCCCTTCCTCTCTCTCTAAAATCAATGGGCATGTCCTTGGGTGAGGATTTAAAAAAAAAAAAAGGAAAGAAAGAACGTATGAGAAGACCAAAATCATCTGAAGCTTAGCTCTTTGGTGGAGCTTAAAATGTGGCACCACTAATTGTCCATTTTGTTTATCTAATGTCATCTAATTTGATCCTTTGTTACTTATAATTTTTAAGAAATCTGAGACAGGAGCAATGTAATTCCATAGAATTTTACCTAATAGACTTTGTTGTTGGGATGTGGATTAAAAAAACTGATTTAGATATAAATTAGAAGTTATTTTCAAAGGAAGAGGTAGTCAGTGGAAGGTGTAAAATCATTTAAATCTTTATATGCCATTGTAGTGTGTTTGAGTTTTGGGAATATATTAACTATTTTGCAGGTGTGAGCTTATGGATAATTAAATGGTATTTCATTTCTTCACATCTCTAGTCTCTTTAATTTCTTTGTTAATTTGAGAAGTCTGCAGCTCCATTAATGCACAGTGTCAGAGGTCTGATGGTTTGGATGTACTTCTTCCACTGACTGAAGTTACTGGGTGTAAGGGACTAAACACGCTGCTTTTATTGGCTCTTAAGTCACCCAGTTTTCTGACTTGGCCTTCCTACTAGAGAGATTCCTTAAAGGGTCCATTGGATGGGCTCAGTTATGAAAAAATAAAAAGGAGAGTTATTCCCAGAGCTAGTGTGTATCACAGAGGTAATTATAGCAGTGGCATTTCCCTTTTTCTGAACTCGAGTAAGTGGTGCCAGAGTTTAGAAGAGATCTTAGAATCAGTGGCGAGCTAAATTGAACTAGATCTGCAAATAAGCTAAAGGATCACTGAAACCTTGCACTAGTGGATTGAATCTCTGACTTTCTTTTCCCATCCCCTTCCTTTTATATGACCCTTAACTGTTCAAGCTTAGCTTCACATGAATTTTGAGAGGTCTTTTTCCCACTGGTATGCATGAGGTGAATAGAAAGGGAAGTTCTTCTTCGCCTTTTTTCTGAGACCCAGGATGCTAAATGCGGGACTGTAAGAAGTGCGGTCATCTTTTCCAAAGGACAGAGACTAAATGATCTTTCAGTGAGAAGCAAGGTGGCAGAGCTTAGCTCCCAAGTCTCTCATCTAGACTCTGGCCCTGATCGTTCTAGTTGTAAAAGAACCGCTGCTCTCACAATCACTACCTCTTTCCTCAAAATGATGCCCATTGGTGCAGTCTGTATAATCAACTAATTAAAAAGGCTCTTCGCAGAGACCTCAGTGCTTTTTTTAAAAATTGAAACCTTGTTGCTTTTTAAATGTTACTGTACTGTTTTTCTATTTAGCACCAAGTAGCCTGCCTTGGGGGCTTCAGGTTATACCTAGGGACTTTCATGCTTTTTCTCTCAGTTGTCTTGAGACCCTACTACTTCTGAGATCCCTGAGCTACGTTGGTCTTTATGTGTGGTTGCTTCATGGCATTGGCTAAAAGTGTTTTCTCTCATTCTTCATATAAAGACTTCTTTATTAGTTTGTGCTTTGGGTTTCATTTGAAAACAAAACCAATAAGAGAACTGGTGGAGAGAAATGGGAAGACAGTATATCTGTTAGCACTGACTCTCTTTCCCTAACCCTATGCAGATTTAGATTAAGTATGCAGCTGTGCTGAAATTTCACTCATTGAGGGCCCTTAATCTGAATTCTTGTGTGCTCTTGCTAGAATTATACTGTCTTACTTAATGACATGATTGTCACTTTGTTTAGTGTGCTCAGAAGTAACCTTTTCCTTGCTTTTCTCTGGGCCTTATTTTAAAGGCTATGCCCTGGCTGGTGTGGTTCAGTGGACTGAGTGCTAGCCTGCTAACCAGAGGATCGCCAGTTCGAATCCCAGTCAGGGCACGTGCCTGGGTTGCAGGCCAGGTCCCCAGTGGGGGGCACATGAGAAGAAACCGCACATCAATATTTTTTTCCCCTCTCTTTCTCCCTCCCTTCCCCTCTCTAAAAATAAATAAATGAAATCTTTTTAAAAAATAAAAATAAAGGTTAGTATAATGCTGACCAGTCTGAAGACAACAGGTTGATTATAGAAAACTGGTAGCTGGTAAGAGTTACGAAATATGTGAAATAATTAATCTTTGAAAGATATAGGCTATAGTTAACATGTTAAAGGGGCTTCAAAATTAAACATCAGTTATTTATTTATTGTTTTCTTTCTAGGCGCTTGCTATTATGATGCTAATCAGTCTATGTATGTGTTTGGAGGCTGTACCCAAAGCAGCTGCAATGCTGCCTTCAATGACCTCTGGCGACTTGACCTGAATAGCAAAGAGTGGATTCGACCTTTGGCTTCAGGTAAGAGATAAAATGCTCATCTTTGCTTTCTTACCTGGTAACTCCCTTTGCATGGAAACTATCGAATCATTTTTGGTGTTAGTCTCAAGGACAGGTTAATGGGGCCCTAGGTTCTTTGTCAAGTATGCTGTGTAAATGCTAAGAATAATATGCTTGTATAAGGTCTTTGAATTTTTTCTAATTTATACTTTATCATTAGTGTTTGTGCCTTGCCAGAATTGCTATAATACTACTGTGTGAATTCATTTGCCTGGTTTTCTCAAGTACTTGTACAGGTGTGATATGCTCTTTGGTATGAAGTTGAAGTAAGAGCAGAAACACAGAGTCGTGAGAACTGTAGTTGACTGACAGAAGCTATTGTCCCAGGGCTAAGATCTCTGAATATCTTTTGTTGTTGCCAGCTGAGATATTTGGGGAGTGTATGGAACATGCCTCTGCTGGTTACTCTTAACAACACAGGAGTGTGGGAAGATTCCACAGTAGGTGCATTCCTGCACAGCCCCACTGTGCCAAAATTCTGGCAGAAAGAAATGAGATTATTTTCTCCTTTTTAGACTTAAACTTTATTGGTAAAAAAATAAAGTAAAAACAATTGTTTTTGAACTCATGAGGCAGGACAATTTAAAAAGGCACAGTTATAAGATTTGAGGGGCTGATGTGAGAGAGAAATAGAGTCCACTGTGTCTAGAGTATTCTGCTAGATTTGTTGGCAGGCTTTTCCCAAACATTCTTTATTTGGCTTTTCAAGGTTGGAATTCCCTCTAGGACTAAGGCAACTTGGGTTTTTCTTGTGCAGATTTCCTACTTATTTTGGTCTTGATTTAGTACTTTGATTATTAAATGGGAGGCAACCTGGTATATTAAAAAGGGCACTGGACTGAGCATGGAGACATGAGTTTCATTTCCTGGCATAATCACCAATTCTCCATGTCACTATAAACAAGTTACTGCATCTCTCTGAGAAACATATGGTGTAGGACTAGATTATTCTATTTTTAAATGGACTGGGAAGGCTAGTTTACATCTTTCTCTTTAGTTGTATAACGACTGCTATGAATGTCTAGGCCAGGGGCTTAAAACCCTTTAATTAAGAAGCTTCTACAGTTTCCTTCCCCAAAGCTGTACATTTCTGTTCCTTCCCCTGGCAACAGGCAAATAGAAGAGGGAGCAGCACAGTGACAGTGGAGGATACTCATAGATGGGACTCGATTTTGTACAGATGAAACTCTTTATTAAAGGTATTGGAAGCTTTTGGCCAAGATGGAGGCATAGGTAGATACATTTCACTTTCTCACACACCAAAAGAAGGATAACAGCCAATTTAAAAACAAAAAACACCCAGAACTGTCAGAAAATCAAACTGTATGGAAGTCCAGCAACCAAGGAGTTAAAGGAGAAACATTTATCCAGACCAGTAGGAGGGGTGGAGACGGGTAGCCTGGATGGAGAGGACGTGTGGCAAGGTGGCAGCTGGTGGACCGGGGTGTCCCACATTCACGTGTGGGTAAACAGAGAGGAACAACTGGAGAGTGAGACAGACCACACAACCCAGGGTTTCAGCGTAGGAAAGTAAAGCCTCAAAACCTCTGGCTGTAAACCTGTTGGGGTTGTGGGGACAGGAAAAATGCCCAGTCTCACAGAAAAGTCTGTTGGAGAGGCCCATGTAGTCCTAGAATGAACACAAACCCACCACCTGGGAATCAGCACCAGAAGGGTGCAAATCGCTTTTGGGTAGCAGGGGAAGTGACTGAAAGTGGGATGAGAGCTGAGCAAGAGGCATTGTTCCTTCTCTGACTCCTCCCCCACAGACAGCACTACAATACAGTGAAAAGGGTTGCCCCGCCCTGACAAATATCTATGGCTCCACCCCTTCCAGTGTAACAGGTGCACCGGGACTAAGAAATATGGCCCAAATGAAAGAACAAACCAAAACTCCAGAAACTAACCGATGAGGAGATAGCCATAGGTTGGCTGTCAGGTGCAGAGTTCAAAACACTTGGTTGTCAGGATGCTCACAGAAATGGTTGAGTAGGGATGCAAAATAAAGGAAGAAGTGAAGGCTATGTGAAGTGAAATAAAGAAAAATATACAGGGAATCAACAGTGAAGGGGAGGAAACCAAGACTCACATCAATGATTGGAACAAAAGGAGAAAATACTCAACTGGAACAGAATGAAGAAACAAGAATTCAGAAAAATGAGGAGAGGCCTAGGAACCTCTGGGACAACTTTAAACGTTCCAACATCCGAATCGTAGGGGTGCCAGAAGGCAAAAAGGAGGAGCAAGAAATTGAATAGTTATTTGAAAAATTAGTGAAGGAAAACTTCCCCAGTCTGGCAAAGGAAGTAGTCATGCAAGTCCATGAAGCTCAGAGAGTCCCAAAGAAGTTGGATCCAAGGAGGAACACACCAAGACACATCATAATTAAATTACCCAAGATTAAAGATAAGGAGAGAACCTTTCTTTTTTTTAAAGTGGCTTGTGAAGTTCTTTTTTTTTTATAGATTTTATTTGTTTATTTTTACAGAGAGGGGAAGGGAAGAAGAAAGAGGGAGAGAAACATCATTGTGTGGTTGCCTCTTGTGTATCCCCTACTGGGGACCTGGCCTGCAACCCCGGCATGTGCCCTAACTGGAAATCGAACCAGCAACCCTTTGGCTCACAGGCCAGCACTCTGTCCACTGAGCCATGCCAGCCAGGAAGTAAGGAGAGAATCTTAAAGGCAGTAAGAGAAAAGAAGAGAGTTAGCTACAAAGGAGTTCCCATAAGTCTCTATCAGCTGGAAAGAAGTATTCAAAGTTATGAAAAGCAAGGGCCTACATCCAAGATTGCTCTATCCAGCAAAGCTGTCATTTAGAATGGAAGAGCAGATGAAATCTTTCCGACTAAGGTAAAGTTAAAGGAGTTCATCATCATCAAGCCCTTATTGTATGAAATGTTAAAGGGACTTATCTAAGAGAAAGAAGATCAAAACTATGAACAGTAAAATGACAACAAACTCACAACTATCAACAACTAAACCTAAAAAAAACCCTCCAAACTATCCCCAAACTAACAAACAACTAGAACAGGAACAGAATCACAGAAATGGAGATCACATGGAGGGTTATCAGCAGGAGGGGAGAGGCGGGAGAATGGGGGAAAGGTACAGGGGATAAGAAGCGTAATTGATAGGCACAAAATAGACAGGGGGAGGTTAAGAATTGTATAGGAAATGGAGAAGCCAAAGAACTTATATGTGCAACTCATGGACATGAACTAAGGTGGGGGAGAGTCCTGGAAGGGGGTGGAGCAGGGCAGAGGGGGATAAAGGGGAGAGAAAAAATAGGACAACTGTAATAGCATAATCAATAAAATATACTTAAAAAATCAAAATATTGGAAAGAGGAACAAGTGTTAATCTTTTAAAAAGGTTAAGAGTTAGTACTATTTTAGGGCCCTCAGAATTTTGTACTTTGATGGTTTCCTTTTCTAGCCCTTTGTCCCCTATTGCACTTAATGCAATATTGATTAATATTTGGAATCACAGGTTCTAAAATGTGGAGAGTCTTTTCAGTCCACACCTCCTATTGCCACTGTACTTGGTGTCCAGGCCCCAGAACAGCTTTGATTGTTCCAGTCGTAAAATACTTAAAATGCCTTTCTCCATTTTGTAGCTAAACTTAATGCCATTGATAATTTGGGTTGGGTGTTACTCTATCTTATAGAAGTGGAGCTCTGACTTTGGGACCTTCATATACTGTTATCAACTACTTTGCTTACTTTTCCTTACTTCTCCCTATAAGATGGACATGGGTGTTTTTTTAAAAAAAACCACTAAGTGTTAAGACTGTGTTTTAAAATTTAAAATGAAAAATAATGTAGAACATATCAGAGAAATAACTGACTTGATAATTCAGATTCTACAAAGAATCTGAATTTTTAAAAATACTACTGTAGACTGTTCCCCTTTATAAAATCATGTAAGTTCCTGAATGTTTAAGTAGCTTTCTAACAGAGTATCTCAAAGAATCTAGTTGCTGCATCACTCTAATCTACAATTAGATCTTAGTTTTAGAGAGGGGGGAAAACTCAGCTTTTTGAAATGTCTATTTTTTTAAAAACAAACAAACAAACGTTTAATAAAGAGCCGCCGAGATTCTCATTTAGGCAGAAATCCCATGGGAATAGTGCCTGAGGCAGTGTTTCTATACGCTGTCATGAGTCTCAACCAAAATTACTTCCTAACTGAAACATCAATGAGTGTTTCTGAACAAGACACAGTTGTTGATATGTTTGATGTGCCTGAGTCACCCACCCATTTTAGTGCACAGAGGTGGGAAGATTGGTGGGTGGCTGAGGGAGTGTGCTACCTACCACCCTTTGGTGCCAGCTGTGAAGTCTCCTTCTAGTATTTGAGTATTTACAAGCCATGAATATTTAAAGCAATAGCTTTAACGGTGTTTAGTCTCCAAGAGTGTAGCTGTCTGGGGAAGAGCATTAAACAAGCAGTGGAAGAGTTTGGGTTGGGAGAGTCTTGATAGACAGTGCTACTGCAGAAGGTCTCTTTTTACATGTTTACCTGGTTATATTGAGAGTGGGGCGTTCTCATTTTGGTTGGGTTCTTACTTAGTCAGCTCAGGCTGCCATTACAAAATAAATTGGTTGGTTTAAACAACAGAAATTTCTCAAATCTAGACGCTAGGCGTCTTGAGATTAGAGAGCTAGTGAGAACTCTCTTCCTGGCTGGGGCCATGACACCCACTGCAGATGTCACCTGCGAGGAGGGTGGAGTGCCAGGGGCCTGGGCCACTTGCGAACGAGGAGTGTGGTACTGCTCCTGACCCCTGGAAGCTGGAGAGACAGGGATGGAGAGAAGCAGAGAAGTCAAGAGATAGAAAGAAAGGAAGGGGGGAGAGAGAGAGAGAGATTAAAATGATGAATACATAATATAGTATGTTAGAAGATAATTAATGCTATTGAATCTAGAGGAGGGGCAGGAGTGAGAGGGGGGTTATACC